CTGAGCGAGAGACAAAAATCGATGCGGTTTTTGGGCGAGAGGCCAGATAAGAGCGGCGAGAGAGCACGCAAACGAGTAAGACAACTGATAAATATCTATCAACGAGGGCGGAGTCTCTGACTCCCGATGGAGTCACCGAACAACTTTGTGCCTTACCGCCGCCACCCCACAACTTTCTGACGCGAAACCCGTACAGTGTTGTCGGCCGCGGTTTCCTCTTCCTTACCCTTCGCAGAGCTCAAATACTTATGAGTGATCGTGGGCAGTGCCTTGAATGCAATGCAAGACTGATTCAGTGATAGATTCACAGGATGGGAGCAAAAAAGACAGTTGCTACTCAAGTCGATAGGTAGGGCTGCGTTGGACTAAAGATTGATAAGGTAGACGTATACCGCATTTATAGGCATTTCCTTGTGGGAGGATGATCGCTGATGTAATGTAAGTGATAATCGGCAATGTGAGCTAAGCAGTCTGGAAGCTCCTGGGCATATAAGTGGTTCTACAACTACGGCCCTTTAACTATGGCCCTTCTCGGTAATGGGTGGGAGGAAGGGGGTGGGGCTGGCACTGCTGTAAGAGCTCGTGTGGCGGCAATTGTCAGAGGCTAGAGGGCATTACATGTAAAACCATGCGTGCATAAGAGAGCAGGGACAGCACAAGACAACGCTTGCACTTCCAAGTATTTTGGACGTTTACAGTTTCACTCCCCGTCCCTCCCCCTCCCCCTCCCCCCTTACCCGCCCACGTTGCCTAAACCGCAGCGGTAGCAACAAAGTTCGTGAACAGTTCCCTCCAGAACTGATGTATAAAATATAGTTTTCTCAAATGTTATGGGCGAGTTTGTTTTGTGGGAGTTCACTCATCTCTGGGAACTTTGGAATGTGGATCAGTTGCTCTGATGTGAACGACTACTTGACACTGAATGTTGCTTACAGCATCAGGAAGAATTTATAGAAATGGAATACCCTGTTCAACATAACATGATTTCCTGAGGCTGTGATTACGAAAAGATCAAAAAAATTACCTGATAGTGGTATGTAGTATGGGCAACGAAATCGACGGCCATGCCGATGCTGATAAGAACGGCGCAAAGCGAAACAGGATCGAGGTCAAGATGCCAGAATGAGAGGTACCTGAAAAATTTTGTGGATAGCTTACGGGCGAAAACACCCCAAAAGGTCGAAAACATCCCGTACAAGAAGCCAAAATAGGAGCTTACCCCATAACACCAAGGCTGATCGATGCAATCGCAGTGGT